CCGGCCCTAAGCCGCCATCGCCGCCGCGCCCTGCGGCAGCTCCGCCGCGATTGACGGCGCTTTGCAGCGCTTTACGACAGCCGCGCTCCCCGCCCCTGAGGGGGCTTGGCCGGGAGGCGCGGCCCGCTTGGATCCCCCGGAACCGCCGGGACCCCCGGCCTCAACTGCCCCGACTTCCAACTGCCCCGGCTTCAGCTGACCCGGCTTCAAATGCCCCGGCTCCAGGTCCCCTCCCTGCTCGGGGCCCCTTTCGGCTCCGAGCCTCCTCAGCTCCGGGATCCCCCGGCTCCCCTGGCTCCGGGCCCTCCCTGCCCTGCCGCGCTCCCTCTGCTGTATCGAGCAGCTCCAGCCCAGGGCCGAGGTTCTGTGTCTCCTGTCACTGCACCCATCGAAAAGGCCTGGAGCGGTGTTCAGTAATTCCCGTGGAAGTTTACTGGCTTACCGCAACTATGCGGGAAAAGAAGTTGTTTTTATCAACCTGGATCCCACTGTGTGTAAATAGAGGAACAAACTTTCTCAAGCGTCTTAGATGCGCACAGGAAGGCTTTGTATCCAGAGCAGTGCTGGAAAGAACGAGAAACACAGTTTCAAGCAAGTCAGACAGAAACACTGTGAGATAAAGTGAAACGTGAAATTCTCGACCGGGCAATGAACCAGCTCAATGACGGGAAACAGAGGAGACACGTTCTTAATTTATTCCTGCAAATGAGCTGTTTGTTTGGGGGTGAGGCATCCCAAAAGGATGGGTGAGACCCCATTCCTCGCAGGTTTCACTGCGGCTGGTGGTGTCTCAGCTTTGAGGCTGCTGGAAGAGCACAGCTCCGACCCTCCCAGTTTTTAGGAAGTTGCTGCTCCGCCTGCAGCACGTGTTGCACGTACTCACTGGAACATCTGCACCGGCAGCTGGCTCTGTTTAAAAAGACAGGCACACAGAGCAGGGCAAACACACAAACAGGGGGAAAAAATGCTGGCTTGGCATAGCTGCAGAATACAAAGCTGTCAAACAGAGACAGACTGGGTACAGTAGCATAAACAATGAGGCATTCATGATTTTGAGTGTGCAAAACCGCTTTCGTTTTAGTCTGGAGAGATTTAACTTCATTAAAATGAGAAACTCGCAAATATAAAAATCCATGTTGAGTCACAGCTCTCAGTCTAAGGTCTGAAGGTGGAGGACTGAACAACTCTGCTGTGGCTCCTGCCTTAAACTGTTGAAACAGGCACAGATTTATCACAGGCTTTGTCTGGGCCTGCAAAGTACTGAAGAAATATAAAGTGAAAGTATGTTCTCATTTTATTTTATATTTTATTTTTTTTAATTTAGGGGAACTGGCAGCTTTGCAAAAGGAAGTTTTCTGAAATCACCATCTTAAAGAGAACTAGTATTTGCTTGGGTTGTTGCCTGGAATGCTCATCACCTGAGCATGAAGACTGTTCTGTTTGCCTGGTAATTATGAGGGAATTCCTGCACTGGGGAGAAGGGAGGCAAGGAAAAGTGCTCTGAACACACTCAAGAATATTCTCATTGAACAAATAAATAGTAATGGGAATTCTCTGGGATGATGCTGTTATGGATTATGGAGAATATCAGCTACTGTGTGATCCTTCTAATGTGCTTGATTTTTTTCTCCTCATGCTTTCTTGTGGGTTTTTTTTTTTTGTTTTGTTTTTTTTGGTTTTTTTAAACACAAATCCTGTTATATCTGTGGTTTCTGTTCATTTAGAGGGATGATTTACTGCCAGCCTCACACAGGGTCTGTGTCAGTGGTAGCTGGTGTCCTGCAGGCTCAAAATGGTTCCCCTACATCTATCTAAACCTTACATTCACTGCAGCGTAGAAGTGACCAAAAAGCAAATGTTAATTTTAAGAAGTGTAACTTTCTAAGACAGGGTTATTTTGCTTATTCTCATAGGCAGAATGAAAAAGATGCCTGGGTAAGTGATCAGGGCTACAGCAAAAAAACCCAGCACAAGGCCACAGAGATTAATGTAAGACTTAAAGATGTGTATATGGCCAGAGAAAACCAGCTAATGCAGGAAACAAAAACACTGCAGATTTTGTGTTCACCGAGGAAATATAGGAGGTGACAGGCAGGAAGAAGGTATGAAGAAGGTATTTAATA